AACTGTAATGACTGGAGCGGAGCGAGTGAAATGCATCCGTTTGAGCAAGGCTGGACACAAAGTTAAAAGCATCCAGCAGACACTTGGAGTCGGAAAGACACAAATCCACGAAGCTTTAAAAAACAAGGCATCGATTCAACTCCTGATGACAAGCCACCATCCAGCGAGGAAGCAATGCAAATGGCAACAAATCCATCAGTATGCACAAGAATTACCAGACATCGGTGATCAACGGGACAGTTACTTGCAACTAGCAACAAAACTGTATGACACGCAGGCAAACATTGTCATAAACCAAAGAATGCATCCAACCAAACAATCCAAAATAGACACACTTTTTTTCCCAAGACAGAAGAAAAATAAACATTAAAATACTGTACGTATTTTACTGTTTGATTTTTTTTGGATACACCTGTATTGCAGTTTTTGTTATATAAAGTTTTTGGACAGTATATTTTTGTATTTTATTGATTGTGTTGTTACACGTGCATTTTTGTCAACATACTTGCATACTTTTCTGTTATCAGGACAAATTGGACAGAGTCCACACTAGAGAATATTTACTCAGTGCTCAGCTCTGAGCACCAGCACATTTTTCCCTTTTTTGGGGACGTAAGAGACCAAAGCCATTTCTTTTGTGAAGCAGAACATGCTGGAGAGGGGTTGCCTTCCTGCTATTTGTGTCACTTTTGCAGGGAGCTTCGGCTTGTTCCTCCTTACCGTACCGACAAGCAAGTTTCTTTTTTTTTTTATTTATTTATTTTTTTAGTTCTGCTGCAAGGGGTATTGAGGTGAAAAAATTGTCCACGGTTATCGTGTGCCCTTCCAGCAAGTCGATGAGTCTCAGGACCACACGCATTCCGACGTTGAGTTCACGCGTGCCCCCGGGAGGCTTGCCGGTGTAGACTTCCAGCTTGGAGGCGTACGAGGTTTGAGCGTCACAGAGGGCCCAAATTTTGATTCCATATTTTGCAGGTTTTGACGGCATATATTGTTTGAAGTTGCAGCGTCCTCGAAATGCAAAGAGCTGCTCGTCCACGCAGACGTCACGTCCCACGTTAAACATTTTTTGCAGCCGGAAATTCCAGCTGCTCCACAAATCCGATATCAGCGACAGTTTGTTGGCATGGTGCCGCTGTGGTCTTCACAGCTTATCGTCGAAACGGAGCGTTCGGTTTATTTCCATGAACCTCCGATGAGCCATTGTGTCGGGGAACATCGGACGCCCGGTCTTGACGCCCCACAAGCTGCTCGTCGCTTCATGCCTGGACCGGTACATTCCAGCCAGGATCAGCAGCCCCATATACGCCCGCAGGTCTTGGGGCGTGAGGGGAGACCAGTTCTTGGTCGTTCGGAGCCCTTGGAGGTTGGTCATTTTTACAATTTTCGCGACGATCTCCTCATCCACAAAGAAAGAAAACGCCGGCTCCGGGCTGCTGATTCTGG